GCGCTTCACAGATACATATTCTGTAAAGTGAAGTGATTATATTTTGTGGGCGAAACGTAACAGCCAGTTGCACACAACAGTGTCCCACAAACAGTCGTGGATTGAGTGACCAAATTATTATTACCCGCCAATTGATTAATAACCAGGTTCCTACTTACTGATGAGTAAACAGAGGTGTGTTGAGTAAGATATCTGCTGCATTTGGAACCTACTTACTGTTGTAGGGACTTTGCTGGTCCAACAATTGGAAAGTTTGGTGCTAACGGGCCTTGAAAGGTAATGAATATGTCAATTGGTAATGTACGGAAAAGCAGCTATTTTTATGGCCCTGTACAGTTAGCCATGTTCCTATTGTTCTGCACAAGTATAATGCGTCAGTGTTTCTCTCCAATGCTGCCTCAAGTCAATCTCATCTTTCTTTAGTATCAGCGTTGACCTCTGGTTTGAGTCTATTTACAAATATTCTAGCATTTGAACGAGTATTCTGCTAACATCTTCAGAAATCGATATTTCCTATTTAGCGTATATCTTCCACTCCCCCACACTTTAAATTGCTGATCTTGTGTGCTTTAACCATGATTTCATGTTTCTCAAATAGATGTGTTTGTAAGTTGTGCAAGTCAGACCCACACCATACAAATCAGGAAGTTTCACCTCCACAAATAAGCTTTTCCCAGATCTCAGCCGCAGCAGCACATGGACTGAGGGGAACAGAGTAAGGACAGACAGACAGGAAGTGGTTTGAAATCCCCAAAGAATCCTCATTTACATGATATGATCCTGCCCTTGAACGCTCTGTTGCAGAATGATTGCAGGCATGTTCAAGACACTGGTAGTTGGTTTTCAGTAAATTCTCTCTTGTGTAAACACTGCCTACTGAAAACTGCTAAAGTTCAATGATCAAACCTCTGTCTCACTCTGGCCACATTGTCATTTCAAAATAAGCTGGATTCTCGGCTGGTCAAACTAAGTGCAGATATTTACTTGCTTGAGTTGCCAACTCTCACAGAAATCATGGCAGGACTAATCTGATACACAGCATAAGACTCAAAGCAGCTTTTGTGCTCTTTGAGTCGATACTAACTAAATTTGTTCATCTCAACAGATGCCAGATGCAGGTGGTATAATGGTCTATCGCTAGCAAATGCCTTCAGGAGCTCAGTTTCTCTGTAACGCTGTCAGTATTAAATCTAAAGCAACAGAAATAGAACATAATGGTGCTATTGAGTTTCCTCAGTTGTTCAGAAAAGCAAACCAGAGCCCATCTCACTGCGTATGTTTGCACAGGTTAGGTTGAAAGTTTAGGAATATATAGTTTCACATTTTCTCTCTCTTCACTAATGGACTCAGTGCTGAGAACTACCAACATATTGTGAAGGATTTCTTGTACGAAATTTCTACAGGACGCGGGGAATGTTTGGAACAAATTCTGTTGATTCCCGCACAGGCCAGTACAATTCCGAGCTGAGCCATGTTGATGAGAGCTATGGCAGGTTTGTGATCACTTACTTACCTGAGATTAGTTGAGACAGCTGTTTGAGCCTCTACAATTGGTATTTTCACCCCTGGACAAGGGAAGGGGAGAATAAATCAACCAACATTCCTTCCTGCTCTTGTTAATTGTCCAGTCACTTGTGGGAAAGTGAGCATGTTTACGTGTCAAATGAGAGCTGGATCAGTCTTAACGTTTTAGAATCCACATATCCTGCAATTCAAAGTTAATGCAAGTTAATGATCTCCTTTGGCTGTGGAGCAGTGAAGCATTCAGGTCACTTGACTGGCATTTATATCAGCGAAATACAAACAAAAAGAGTTCTGAGCAGACTGCAGGTAGCGACGGTGTGTATTGTGAAAGGCATTGAGAACAGGTTTTTCTATGACAGTATCTGCCTTACATCAAAAATAAGACACTTTATAATGTTTCCTGGCATTAGAAGATTTACCAGGGATACAGTTTCTTTTTAATGTAATTATAAATGCATTTTTATTTGTGCTGGTTTTAGTTTATATAATATAATAATAATCCTTGCATTTGATACAGTGCCTTTTCATGTCTTCGAGACATCCCAATTTACAGTAGACTTATTGTTACGTGCACAGACTCTGTGAAATGAGTCATGAGAATGCTGTAGTTCATTTGTTCAGTGTGTGGTAGTTTAGACAATATTTAGAACTGTTACCCCCTTTCGTTATCACTAGACCTTGCTATCACACTCTCACATCGTAAATTACACTGCATTCATTCTCACAGCATTTGCTCACTCCAGACAGTCTGGTCTGTGCTAAGCGTAATGAAATTACATGGAAAATTTATGTGTACATCTTGTCAAAATAAATGTTAATTTAATGCAATGTATACAGATACCAGTTAATGCCGTGATTGCTTGATAGCATCATGAACAGGAGTCACGTGGCATGTTGGTTAAGCACTCGCCTCACAAGCGAGTGGACCCAGTTCCATACCTGGCCGGGTTGAAACCTTTGGCAAGTTTCCTTACTCCATGCACCTCCTGTTTACCCAGCGGTAAGTAGGAACCCGGTTGTTAGTCGATTGACGGATCACTCTCCAGAGTGTAATAATTCCCCCCAAAAATGGGGTGACTCAATCCACAACTGTTTATGGGACGCTGCTGTGTGCAATTTGCCTGCCGTGTTTCGTCCACAAAATATAGTCAATTCATCTTACAGTATATCCTGTGAAGCGCTTTGAGACATCTCAAGTACTTGATAAGAAGCTATATCAAATGCAAGGATTATTATTATTATATTGTGTTTTTGTATGACAGTCTTTTGCTAAGTTGCAAAGAACAGCACAATGTATTAGAAACATTCAATAACCTTGGGAGGCTGCTTTTAACCTAATGTTCTCATTATAAAATGTTAATTTAGGAACACGATACATTAATGCAGCACTTTATGTTAATTTAAGAACTAAATATATTAATGTAGTCCCTTATCTGTTTCAATGTCTGTCTTGTTCTATCAAGACAGTTGTAGCTCTGGTGATGAGCCGTCACATGTTTAAGAGCCTCCAAACCAAACTATTGAGAGTTCCACAAAGGCATCATCTCTATTTGTCTGGTGAGGTGTATGTACATCTCTCCAGAGGGACTTGTTTACGTACAGAGATTTAGCACAGCTAGGCTAGAGTGTGCATTAGGATAAACCTAAAACTGATTAGCAAGCATACTACTGCTTGTCCAGCTTGAACCACACTACCCATTAGGGCTTTGACCTGTGAGGATAACTGAAGCAATGGAAGACTCCCAGAGTCCAGAGACTGACGTGCTCCTACATGTCCTGCTAAACAACCAGACTAGTTGGCCCATCAACAGCAGTGCCATGGAGTCACATGGACCCACCTTGCTCAGGTACCAGAGATCCAAGACTATCATAGCAGATCGACTCAATTCTGACCTCTCATTACCTTGGTGTTACCTTGGAGCCAACGCAACATCAAAGAGATGACGGTTACCTGGTCATATGTCGTATCATTGATGTATTTTGTAACAGAACAACACATTAGCATTAAATGTTTGTGGGACGCTGCTGGGAGCAATTGGCTGCCAGGTTTCGCCCACAAAATATACAGTCTTCACTTCACAGTATATTCTGTAAAGGCAAAGAAAGAATCTGTGCCTATAGCATCAAAATGTGTCAAACTCCTTTACAATAATGTTGGCAAGTGTAAGGACTGTGTTTTTGTAGGTAAATGTGGCAGCAAATGTTGCACATAACAATGTGCCATATCCACCCATTAAGATAATGCATCAAAGCTTCACAAGAAAGGATACAACTTTCAAATCAATCTTTTCTCACAGGAAAGTGTTGAATAACGAGGAGTATTTATATAACTCTGTGCCTATGGCAATTGTCGTTCTTCTGAGCAGGGTATCATTACTGGAGGATGCCTGGCATATCTTGAACTGTTGTTGATTAATTCCTTATTCTTACTCCATTCATGTTCCTGGAATGTTTGTACAAACATAATGTTTCTCACTCAGTATATAAGCACTCATGGCCGTGACACCCAATCTTATTAATGGGCTTCATCTAATGTACATTAAGAGAATAGTTAACAATCTAGGTGACTAGGAAGCAAAGTGAGTCCAGAACACTGTCCCATTTTGTGGTCGATTATCCACTGTGTTGTTTATGAGATTTTAGAAAAACATGTACATTTCCTACCTTGCTTTTCTGCGACTCTCAAAGACAACATTGTTGAGGGAAGTGGTTGCATTTAAAACACCAGTAATTCGAGACATGAAGAAACTGTTGAAATATTGAATATCAATAAATAACATGGCAACAAATGGTTCTGATAGTTATACACTTGTGGTACAGACCAATACATCATCTGATACTTGCATTTCTTCAGCAGTAATTGTAGTCAGCATTGATGATGAAATAATGAGCTTTGCAAGGTGTTCGCTGAGCAGAGTATTGACTGTAATGAAGAGCAAGCTAACAGATACAGTAATCATTACAGACACCAAGCTGGTTATCTTCAAAGCTGAGGAAGCAAAGAGGAGTCAACAGAGAGGTTGGCTTACTCCAAGCTGGCACTGACTAGGGGGGCACAAAGGGCAGAACCAGAGGGGAAAGGACTGAAGTTAAAGGACTGATGGATGATCCAACACCACAAAATCCCACAAAAGAACCTAAGAATTGTGGGACAAACGAAGACTAAGATTCATCTTCCACCATCCTGGCAGTCGCTTGCACATATCATGTCCCAAACTATATACTATCTCAAGATAGAATTGTATCTAATGTATATAATTTGCTTTTGCAACACTTTCTGCTTCCACTTTCTCCCTAGGGAGCCTGTTCCAAACATTCACTGAAATAGCGAGATACTTAAATAATACTTAAATAAGAAGTTTTGTTATTATACTTCATAATTTATTGCTTTTATGTGCTTTGATAATTTTCAGGTAAATCTCAATCTCAAAGATTTACCATTAATATTCAATTAATTTTCTTCCTTGCTTTTATAGGTATGGCAAAATAGTATCCACAAAGGCTATTCTGGACAAGACAACTAATAAATGCAAAGGTACACACTCTTGTTATTGATGGTTCTTATTGATGGTATCCTGTTGGGATCAAAACCCAGTTTGACCTTGTTCAAGAAATGTGATCCATATAAAGTGTTAAGTTATGGTCATTCTGCTGACGATTTAACCGGTAATGGTTGCAATTTTGTCTTTATCTGGACCCAGTGTTTCCTGTTCCTGCTCAATCTGCAAGGGAAGTGTGGCTAAACAATGTCAGCTTTTAAATGGCTCCTGGACATAAATGTGTCTAGGTTGCACAACACTCCTCTTTAAGAGGACAGTATTTTGCCAGCGGCACTTTGGGGATCTTGTCCTATCTGGTACTTTGTTTTTTGTGGGAATATTGTCTCTGTTGAATTCTGTGGTGCCTGAAGCATTTGCAAAGGCAGGAAACAATTGTCGCACCCATGTTAGTGAGGCGAATGCAATGGTGAATATCAGCTGAACATCTTCAGAAGCATGCAGTGTGTAATGAGCTCAGCCGCACGAGGGATTATGATGGTTGGGGAAAAAAATCACAATGTTGAGTTTTCTAGGTACCGTGGAGCCTTTTCCCTTTTCGCACTCCGATGCAGTTTAAGAAAGAGAGCAGCAATATTGAAATAGCAATTGATTACAGTTATTAGATATACACTGACACTTTGAGAGAAAGTTAACACGAGAGCAGAATTCCTGTTGGTTTTTGACTTTGATCATTTGATTTCCTCATCCTACCCCCAGTGAGGCCAGGCTAAGTTCCTGTCTCAAAAAGAAGCCCATTCAACAATTTTGAGGAATTTTAAATGCGATTAATTAAGAGATTTTATGAGCCAACAGCAGCGCTAACATATTGCACAAGATTAGCCTAAAACTAAAAAGGTAATGAGCAGAAGTACTTCAGTTTGTTCCATATGTATGTTCTCCCTTCACACACTTAGTCCTCTCTACAGAGATCACAAACCTAATCTTGCTCATTTGAACTGCACTCCATTTAACACAGTGTCCCAGCTTTGTGCTGTAATTGCACAAAGCCAGACAGTGAACAGTATAAAGTGATCCTGTTAATTGAATTCAGTGAATTCCATTTCAATATCTCGAGAGGATTCAGTCTATGATTTACACAGCAGCTGTGGCACTTTACTGAGAATTATTGATTTTAACCCAAATCATTGTGGAAATCTGGATTCAATGTTGCACACGCATTTTTTGGGGGAAAAAAACTCCTATGATGAATAGATAGGTAACTGACTATATTTCAGAGAATTGCAGAATAAGATGCAGAAAAGCTGAATCCCACCCAAATGGCTTCAAGGGGCAGGTGACTTTATGAAGAAGTATTTTCAGTGTAATCTTTGTGGTAAATTTTACATGAGATATTTCCGAATGGTATTTGGAAATCTCTGTACAGCCTGGAAAGATTCCATTTCCTGTCGGAACCTAATACTCACCGATGAGATCAAGCACAGAAATCCATAGCAAATGTTTTACTTTTCACTTACTTTCAATGCATAGTGGAATCCTGTAGCTCAGTGGTTCGAGCTCTTGCCTCACAGGCGAGAGGACCTGGGTGCTATTCCGGGCAGGGCGAAACGTTGGACAAGTTTCCTTACTCCACACGCCTCTGTTCATCAGCAGTAAGTGGGAACCGGTTGTTAGTCGATTGGCGGATCGCTTTTCCAGGGATAATAATCCCTAAAAAAAANTTATTTGGTCACTCAATCCATGACCGTTGCTGGGCACAATTGGCTGCCGTGTTTCACCCACAAAATATACAGTCAATTCACTTTGCAATATATTCTGTGAAGCGCTTTGAGACGTCTTGAAGACATGAAAAGCGCTATATCAAATACAAGAATTATTATTTGATACAACACCTTATCATGTCATCAAATCGCTTCACAGGATATACTATAAAGTGTAGTGACTGTGTGTTTTGTTGGCGAAATGCAGTAGCGAGATGCATGTGGAGTAAGGAAACTTGCCACAGGTTTTGTCCTGCTCGGGAACCAAACCTGGGTCCTCTCGCTTGCAAGACGAGTGCCCTAACCACTAAGCTACATTGTCCATGGGCTGAGGACTGGGGAACCAATCCCATGGCTGATCACTCTACAGTGGTCACTGCTGAAATGTGCTTCGTTTCAGATATTATTTAAGCATAGGATCAGGTTAGGTTGTGATTTCCCTTGATCTGTGGGTGAATAGCCGAACAGCACTCAGTGACCAGCTTTGCATTTGAATAATGCCCACATGATGATGCAGTTTGTGTCCATGGACCATATTATCAGCTTAAATGAATGCCCCCAAAAGAGGAGTGCAAAACATTCTAACATTTTAGTGCCTGATTATTGTTTGAATATCATTATTGAACCCTTAGAAAACACGATTACACAATTGTGCCAAATTGAATAGTGTTGTAGCTTGTATAGAAGGATAAGTGTTAATATCAGAGCTCTGTGAGTTCTGTAATGTATTCCACAAATGACTAAAACGGGTTGATCTTAAGTGTTTGGTAACCAGAGATGCAGCTGACCTGAAATCAATATTGCAATACTAACTCTGCACGGATGTTTCTATCCCCTTCCACATTCTGGAACTTTATGCCATGTACAATAGTGCTGTTTACCAGTTAGGGATATTGTATTTGTACTCTGTTGACATTGCTGCCTTTCTATAGCATTTAAAAGTGGAAACCAATCTCCTAAGAAATTTGCAGTGTATTACAGCAATGACCAGATGTCAGCAGCACAAAACATTTAATAACGAAAATAATCCTTACAATTGATATCGCGCCTTATCAGCTGGTAGAGATGTCTCAAAGCTTCACAGAATATACTATAAAGCGAATTGAATGTATTTTGTGGGCGAAACGCGGCAGCACAGCAGTGTCCCTCAAACACTCATGGATTGAGTGACCAAATGATCATTATTAATTACTTTAAAATTGTTGTAATGTTTGTTCATATTTCTAAAAAGCTGATAAAATAATTATTAAAATCTCAATTTTTATGTCCAGTCTTGAGTGCATTTGGGACATCCTCCTGATGTGAAAGGTGCTCTACAAATGTCATTTGTTGTTGTATTTTGTTGTTGTTGCATTTTGAAGTTACTCCTCAGCGATCCACAAAATGAAATCTTTTCTCAGGGTTGAATCTTCCACAGATGTCGCCGCTGTGTTAGAATTGTGCTGTGCCACAATCAGCACTGGCAGATGGCCCTCCATCAATACAATGCCAAGATTGCTGAACTGAAATTGGTGTTCACGAATTTAGGTGGCACTTAAAGCAGACAAATTGAAATGATAATGTAATTATAATATGGCTTTGCCCTTGCCTTAGGAGACAGACATGCTGTAAGCAGGCTGTTTACCCACATTCTGGGTTTGAAAGGATTACATGTTCTCCACATTAAATCTCTCAATTACAATAAAGCAATCCTCAAACATCAAAAATCACGCCATTTGGTCGTCTGTTTTGAATCCCTCAGAGCTTTATAAATGGAATCTTGTTGTTGTTGTTGTTGTTGTTTACGTTGATTTGTATCCTTTTGGGCAATATTCACATATAATCTGAACATCACACACCTCTCAAACCTTCTACTAAATCTTGCTTGTGCGCAAAGCTGTCAAATTTATAATGATTAAAACCATCCATTTTAAAAAAAATGAACAGAAAAATTACGATTCAAATTATCCTTCTGAAAACGGGAGAAAAACAAACATCCCTTAAGGTTCCATCTCCTGAAAATCTGTCCTTCTGAACAGTTTATTAGTACACGCTTTTAGAAACTGGAAAAAATAAATGAGGTTAATCTGAAATCTTCTAACATGCAAGGTGATAGTCATATCCGCTGGGAGGTATCATTGGTGCCATCGACTGCGTTTATATTCAGGAAGAGTAAACCAAATGCCTGTTAGCCACAGCTAATTGTTTCTTGATCTGTAGTGAGAAAAAACTGGAACAATTTAATGTGATTAAAGTTCAAAGACTAAGTAATTTGAGTCAATCCAATCTCCAGATGTGCCTCGAACTTTAGTTATGTGATTTTTCTCTCATTGTTAGCATGATCTTGCACAGAGCCTTGAACCTTTACTGCCCCATAAATGCTTCTTCATCACCCCCCCACCCTCACAAAGTGAGCATCTGGGGGTTTATTGCACTTGAACGCCATTCTGATTTACAGAGTGGAAATGTATAAGATACAATTTAAATTTTGAACTTTGGAATTGTGTATGGTATCAATTAACAATGACTCAGATGTACCTTTCAAAAGAAAATGAGATAGGTATTTTTTCAGAGAAAACATCTCAGGGTACAGTATATAGTTTGGGACATGACATGACAAGCAACTGCCAGGTGAACTGGATGGACCTCGGTCTTCTTTTGTCTAGAAAATTCTTATGTTCTTATATCCTTCCTCTTCATCCCCTTCCCCTCTTTCCCCTCCTCCTCTCCCCCCAACTGTACAGAGTGAGTGCAATGGGAGCTTCCTCTGAATATATAATCTACAGCAGGACCGACAGAGACAGCAATGTCCCACAAACAGTCATGGATTAAGTAACTAATTTTTTTTGAGGGATTATTACCCCCAAAAAGCAATCCACCAATTGATTAACAACGGGTTCCTCTTACTTCTGATAAAGAGAGTCGTGTGGAGTAAGGAAACTTGCCCAATGTTTCGCCCTGCCCAGGAATTGAACCCAGGTCCTCTGACTTGTGAGACGAGTGCTCCAACCACTGAGCTACAGGACTCCACTACACTCACTATTGCACTAACTCACTGACTTCTGATTCTTTTAAAAAAAGGCAACATTTCTGGGTTGTCAAGTCACTGCTGACATAACTAACTGTGCAGTCTTGATGTTTCTGCACATGCAAACTGCAAAGTAAGCACCATTACCATCACTTCAAGTGACGCTAGCAGCTTCCTGGGCACAGAACAAACAGGAAGTGAATCAGTGACCCAGAAGTTGGTCGTTTTTTTTATGCTTCACTTATAATATGACGTCTTCAAGAACAAAAAATTTATTTCCATTAAATTGGCTTACATCTTGTCAAAAATATCGTACACCAGACACAAACGCACATAAACACAAGCACAGTTCATCTTCCTGTTTGTGTTTTGCTCAGCCGGCTCTGGCTGCTCCACGTCCCCCGACCCACCCGCCCCACAATTGGCGGGAGAGCCTTCAGCCTTTCTGCCCCCAATCTCTGGAATTCCATTCCCCAGTCACTCTGCCTGGCGTCCTCCTTAACCTCCTTCAAGTCCTTCCTCAAGACCCTCCTCTTCGGCCATGCCATCGCCACCTCCCCTCCTTTCTCCTCACCTGACCCCAGTTCGGTTCTGAAATGCCGTACACTGTCCAGCGCCTTGGGAAGTCTTCCTGACGTGAAAAGCGCTATACAAATGTAATCTTGTTGTTCTTTGCTCTTAAAGCCATAGCAGAGCAGAAAGTGCAGCGTTTTGCAAGCTAACATTCTGTCTTCTGAAGACTAACATTGAGCAGAGGCAGAAACCTCTGGCTAAGGTCCCTTGTACCCATTGCCTTGTCTTGTCAAATGGTGAACTGCGTTCTCCACATGCTAATTCTAAACTTTTTGATTTGGCCAAATAATAAGCCCATTACATTTATTTCACACCTGCTAAATGGTAAGATGCTAATAATAGAATAATCCTTGCATCTGATATAGCTCCTTATCTCGTCTTTGAGACGCCTCAAAGCACTTCACAGAATATATTGTAAAGTGAATTGACTGTACATTTTATGGGCGAAATACTTTGTATGGATCCTTAATGTGTGGATGTTTGTTTTTGATTGGGAATAACGGACTGGGCTTTGGGTTAGTACTAACTGTGTCTCTGATGTTCATTTGCAGGCTATGGCTTTGTGGATTTTGACAGTCCAGCAGCTGCTCAGAAGGCCGTAGCTGCTTTAAAGGGCAACGGTGTGCAAGCCCAAATGGCAAAGGTAACACTAAACGCTACCAACTAACATGAGGAGGAGCATCTATATTTTTTAACTCTGGTTTATTTTGTTCTATTACACAACTTTCACAGGTGTTATTAAAATAATAATCCTTGTATTTGATACAGCGCCTTATCACGTGGTTGGGACATCTCAAAGCGCTTCACAGAATATACTGGAACAAAACGCAGCAGCCAATTACGCACAGCAGCGTCCCATAAACAGTCATGGATCGAGTGTCCAATTTATTATTATTTTATTTATACTTTTTTTGAAAGTCTCAAAGTACTTCACAGGATATATGCTAAAGCACATCCTTCCCCTCCCCTTCACCAATCTGCTGTTTAGTGCTCAGCGCTGGAGGACTGAAGGTTAAAGAACGAATCGGATTTTCAACCTCATAAATGCCCAAGTTTTATTAGGCTGCAAAATCACTTCAAGGGCTTTCCTCTGTAGGCAATGTCTCACACAGTGCTCACTCATGTAGAAAATTCAATTAATACCTCCAGAGGAGCCAAAGTGTCTTGTAGCACAAAGACACACCAACAAGGGGTTTAACAAGTGGCCAGTGGACCAGATTAACAACTAGTCTGATGAGTTACTTGCAAAGTATCAATGCTGTGCATTTGTAATTAGGATCATTGATTTTAAAAACCTATATTTATAACTAAAGGTAATTTCCTCATCACGTCTGCGAGACGTCTCAAAGCCCTTCATGGAATGCACTGTAAAGTGAATTGACTGTATATTTTGTGGCTGAAACGCGGCAGCCAATTGCGCACAGCAGCGTCCCACAAACAGTCGTGGGTTGAGTGACCAAACTATTATTATGATTTATGCAGTACTAGCTACACTGCGTTAGATTAATCCTTTAAGTATTTCCATCTCATTTAGACAAAAACTGAGTTGAATGAAGTTTCCGACAAAGCTAAAATGGGAACCATACTGAACAAATTACAGAAGATTTCAGTTTAATCTCATTTGGATTACACACAGTCAGTTGAATGAGCAAATTCTTAAGATTTAGTGCCTCTTATCTGTCAGGCCAGTCAAACGGAACAAATACTTTAATTAGGAGCTTGGTTTCTGTCTTAATTAGTTCTTCCAGAGAGAAAAGAACAGCCTGGTTTTAGCTGAACTTTGACCTGTGAATCTTGATTTGTTTGATGGTTTTGGCTATTAGTAAAGCAATCACATGTTTGAAACGGGTTCAAGTGATAAATGTAAGAATCCTAGTGTGTGTACAAGACCATAACCAGCCTTGTGTGGTCGGATTACATCCTGAATATAGTATACAGGAGCTGGGTTGTGACGTGTAGAGTCATGATGCCATATAATAATAATAATAATCCTTGCATTTGATATAGCGCTTTTCACGTCGGGAGGACGTCCCAAAGCGCTTCACAGAACACACTGTAAAGTGAATTGACTGTATATTTGTGGGCGAACGCGGCAGCCAATTGCGCACAGCAATGTCCCACAAACAGTCGTAGATTGAAAATGACCAATTTGTTGTATTTATATCCATATTTATTGTCAGGGAAATTCTGCACAAACCTCTCTTTAACACCTCCGTTTGGGGTGTTGACCGTTTGATGGTCACTGCAGGGGTGATCTGGTGTCTGGTCGCTGAAGAATCTGCAATAATAATAATATAATAATAATCCTTAAATTTGATATAGTGCCTTGTCATGTCGTTGAGATGTTTCAAAGCGCTTCACGGAATATACTGTAAAGTGTAGTGACTGTGTATTTTGTGGCCAAACACGGAGGCCGATTGTGCAGAGTCGGGGAGTGAGTGACCAAATTGATTGAATCGGCTCCCTGGGAAGATGCTGTTCATACTGTGGTTATGTAATGAAGAACAGCAGACTGTTTAGTTGCTGACCCCATTCTGTGTCTAAAAGCATATGTTCTTGTCTTTCTGTCAATGTTTTCCCTGCATTTTTCAGAGCAGTTCCACACACACAGGGCAGGTTTTGTTAACGTTTCTCAGATGAGTGCTGAAAGCCTGCCATCAGGAGGGGCCTTGATCAACACTGTGCTTCCCAAAAGAAAATTAATTACCTTCCTTCCTGTCCTCTCTGTGAACTTTGTTTTTTTTCAAACTACCTTCATTTTATTAAAGGTGCCATCAAAGCAGATCGTCTGTCCTGCTTGTGAGACTGACTCATTGATGGAATATTAGAAAGAGGAAAAAATTCTAACAAATGCAAGTCTCTAGAAAGGTTTATTTCCCCTCCATAATTAGTTTGTTCCCATGTTTCTCAACAGGGATTTTTAAGATAATAAAAGGCTGCTTTTAATATGACAATTAAAAACAAAGTTAATTTTAACTCTTCAGTTCAACCAAGGAATGGGGAAGTAAAGTGAGTGCGTTATGCCTGTGGCTTCTAGATTCTGTGAACAAAAGCAGATTGTACACAGCTACAAGTTGCCGTTTACCAGACTCAAAATGGTGGCCTTAGCAGAGGAGATAGAAGTGCTCCCAAAATTTGGGTTATTATTGGCAGAAATTTAGCAATAATAATTGTCCTGAAAACAAAGCCAATTAATACTGATTAATGAGCAATTATTTAAAATCTGTGTGTAATTCTCTCCACGAATAGTAAGACGATTTAAAAAATTTTGAGAGAGTATGTGTACACACATACACAAGGGAACATGCTTACGTCTCAGAACAATCTCAGTAATCAGTGACCCTAATTGTGGAGGGTCTTTATGCCTTAAGAAACTTCAAAGCTGGACTAAAGATTTTGTATGATTTTCATCAGATACAGAGCTTTACAGAATGCTGGAGTCTTTGATCTAATCTTATAAAGTGTGACAGAACTCGCCTAGATATATCTGACTTTTACCAAAGTAGTTCTCCGAGTTCAGGAATGTATGATAAAAATGCAGAAAGCGAGCGAAATGTTCAAAGGCTCTACTTTGTTTCAGAAATTAATAGTACATCACAAATGCTTAAAGGTCAGAGAAAACCTTAAGCAACACCCATCAAAAGGTTGTTTCAAAAAGAATTATTCCAGACTGGGGAGTAGTTCTTCTCTGTAAGCGCTAGTAAGGTTTACAAAAAGGAATTACAAATCCTGGAATCCCAGAGAAATACATTATCTGCAGAATTTTTTATCATGGACCCTTGGATGGAATCTAGGAATTCTGTGTGGAAAAAGAGGGTCTAAAGACAACATTGTTCAGTGCTTTCTTGACATTTGGTAAATGACAGCTTTCATTGACTACCTGACGCCGCAGTTTGCTGCTCATGAAAAGCAGTACCTAATTGCGATTTTTAGTTTAGCCTCATACCACCATTGCTGTTATGAAGTACATGACAAGCCGTTCATGTTGTTGAAGTGGTTTGAAGATCTGACTCTGGCCCCAGTGTCATCTTGGCCTGATTTCTGAATATGGAGTCCTGTAGCGTAGTGGATAGTGCACTCACCTCACAAGCGAGAAGATCCGGGTTTGATTCCTGGGCAAATTTCGTTAATCCACCTGTCTCTATACCTACTAGCAGTAAGTCAGAACCCAGTTATTAGTCGATTGGCGGATCACTTTCCAGGGGTAATAATAATCCCTCAAAAAACAAATTTGATTACTCAATTCACAGCAGTTTGTGGGACGCTGCTGTGCGCAATTGGCTGCTGCGTTTCTACCAAAGCAATACACAGTCAATCCACTTTACAGTCTATTCTGTGAAGCGCATCGAGACATCTCAACGACGTGATAAGCTGCTATATGAAATGCAAGGATTATTATTATTATTATTATATGTGTCCCCCCTTCCCCTCCCAGCAGCAAGTTAGCCCAGAAGCCCATCATGCTGTGCGTGCAATGGTATTGTTTTGTGTTGTTGTGTGGAACCCAGAGCTAACACGCCATGGGAATCCTCCAGGGCCTCGCAGAGCAGTAACAAACAGCAGTGTCCAATTATCAGCAACGTCATGTCATCTTGACTCTCCAGGTGCTCGTGGCCCGTTGGAAACATGAGGAGGAGATTTATTTGGTCAAAGGAGCAACATTTTATTTTCTGTACAATATTAATAATAATCTTTGCTTTGTAAATATGTGGGACACTGCTGTGCGCAATTGGCAGCTGCATATTCTTTCCAAATAGTCAAATTGCTTTGAGATGTCTCAAAGACATGACCCTATATCAAATACAAGGATTATTAAGGATTATTATAAAGGTCATTATTAGCATTTACACTGATCAATTTACACCCAATCAGATTGTCCAATAGTTGGAGAGCTTGCTAACACATCAGAGGCTGCCGATCCCAGGTGTATATTACAGCATTGATGCTCAGTCAATGATCTGCTCAGCGAGCATTTATTCACACAACTTTCCCCTTCTTTACAGTATTCTTTACAGTATGTAAAATTAACAATATAAAAATCTCACACTGACACAAACATACTCACTTTCACTTCAAGTTTTATTTCCTTTTCAACAGGATTAACTGCAGTTAAATTTACTCGAACAGAAATAATTTAGTACACTTGAATTTCTTATGCAATTGTCATAAATTAAGCCAAGGCTCCCCTGTTATTTACAGTCCTCCTCCTGTTTGAGAATCTATGTAGGCAGTGCCCTGTAAGTCTTGTTCCCTCAGCAGAAGGAGAAGATAATCACCGGGTTATAACAATAAACTTCTCTGGTTATTGTAATCATGATCAGATCAGAATTACAGATTTACAGATTACCTCTTTACCTTCGCAGTAAGTAGGAACCCAATTATTAGTTGATTGGGGGATCGCTTTTCTGGGGGTAATAATCCCTTCAAAACAATTTAAAATAAATAATAATAATTTGGTCACTTCAATCCACGGCTGTTTGTGGGACGCTGTTGTGCGCAATTGGCTGCTGTGTTTCGCCCACAAAATATACAGTCAATTCACTTTACAGTATATTCTCTGAAGCGCTTTGAGACGTCTCGAAGACGTGATAAGGTGCTGTATCAAATGTAAGGATTGTTATTAAGTGGTGAATGTTGCTAAAGCTGGTGACTGTGGCATGTGATTATCGGGGTTTCATGTTCTATATGAGTTAGCACTTTGTTAATCTGCTGCTCAGAGGGACAAACACTCACACACACTGGATTGTGGTAATGGGTCCTGGGTGGGGGAAACCAGAAGAAATCTGAAGGAAAAGTAATTGTGAAAAGCAATTAGTGGGGACTAAATAAACAAAAATGGGATTCCAGTTTAAGAAAAAAAATTGACTGTGAGATTAAGAAAGGAAATTAAAAGAGAAGATTCAGGGAAACAGGAAGAGAGAGAAGCTCAACGTGTTTTCTCTGCTTGTGCTGAACTCCTTAAGCCTCCTATATTGAGATTTTTTGATGAAAAGACCCAAGAAAAATGTTGGTATATAATAATAATCCTTGCATTTGATACAGAGCCTTATCATGTCTTTGAGACGTCTCAAAGTGCTTCACAGAATATTCCGTAGAGTGAATTGACTGTATATTTTGTGGGCGAAATGAGGAAGCCAATTGTGCACAGCAGCGTCCCACAAACAGTCATGGATTGAGTGACCAGATTATTATTATTATTTTTGTTGAAGGGATTATTATCCCTGGAAAAGCGATCGACTAACAAGTGGGTTCCTACTTATTTATAGGTGGGCAAGATCAGGCTTGGTTTTGATGCCTCGTACAGCAAAATAGTCGATGGCACAATCCCAACCTTGGTTCACATTGGAAGAATGGTTATTGGGAAGAGGAGCTGCCAAACCCTCATAAAACCAATTTGAGTCGTAGAGAGAGAAGAGAGAGAGGAAAGAGAGCAGGAGTAGAGAGAATGACTGAGAAAGAACGAAATGAGAAATAAAAGAAAGGACAGTTGCCATCTAGTAAAATCTTTATTAAAAAATCAACTGCTGAATGAATTACACCCCCTGCACGGTGCCACTGTTTATGAATAAGAGGATCACCACAGCAAGCAACTAAGCAAACGGTGTCTCAAGCCCAATCCAAATAGGAATTCTACAGCAGCGAAAGCAGATGATGTTTTGAAGCCAAATGATTTAGTTAAATATTTGCACGCTCTCTGGCTATGTGAGGTAAATAGTGCTGTCTAGAAAAATATACTTTATGGGAAGAAAAAAATCCAACTGAGGTGAACTGCACAAAAAAATGTGAATTTATAAAAATAAAAGGGCAAAAAAAAGCAAGGGTACAGATATGTAATTGAAAGCCACGTATGTACTAAGTTTATGTGGAAAAACAAAGAGAAATCTGATGCTGTGGTTCACTTTGTAGTTCTTAAGACAATGGCATCTTGCCATTGCCAGAACTGAAGGTAAATGAAGCATCGACTAAGATACATTACTGAAGCATTTCTTAAAAAAAATCCACCAATGTTTTGTCCTCTCTTCTCCTGTTGCTGGAGTTGTCCCAAGATGTTGAGGGCTGTTCAGCCATTGCATTAACTGAACCACTTGCTTTGGAGTACAAAGAGTTGTTATGTCGCTAGTTTAATGCACAATGAGACTATTTTGCCCTTTACTTTGAAGGTCTATTGCTTTCACTGTATTATATCCATTGTGTCACGCAATGTTAACTACCATCCCAATTATGTGGAGTCCAGTAGCTCAGTGCAAGCGAGAGGACCTGGTTTGATTCCCAGGCAAGGTGAAAGCTTAGGCAAATTTCTTTACTCCACACTCCATACTCTGCTTACCAGCAGTAAGTAGGAACCTAGTTGTTATTCGATTGGCGGATTACTTTTCCGGGGGTAATAATCCCGCACCCCAAAAATTTGATTGCTCAATCCATGACTGTTTGTGGGACAGACACTGCTGGGCAAATGGCTGCCCCGTTTCGCCCACAAAATACACAGTCACTTCTCTTTACAGTATATTGTTTGAGGCACTTTGAGACGTCCTAATAAAACGATAAAGCGCTATGTTAAATGCAAGGATTATTACTGTTGTTGAAATGATGGTTAGACAGCCGTCCACCAGCGCTGCTAGTAACTCAGACACTATGAAGTATGTAAAAGTGGCCCAAGGGATTCCTCAGATTTGCCTCTCATCCTTTGGCTAAGTGCTTGCACACAATGGCACGACTGATGGCAATAATTACCCATGTAGAGAGCAATGTGTTTGGGGTTTCAGCAATGCCTTGTTTGCCTGTAGCTAAAGTCACTTCATTTGAATGAGCTGACGAAGGAGATTGTGGTGCACTTTGATGAGGCAGCAAAGCATTTGCAGGGCTGTTGAGGAAAAGCCACACACAGTGATGGCAAGTCTCAATCCCTTCCTTTTATAACCAACAACAATTGACATTCTTGCAATTAACTGCTTAACAACCTTTATTTCATGCAATAGGCGTGTCATCAATTTCCATTTTTCTATTAAACCACAAATTTAAATTTGGCTTGCATTTATTTCTATGTGGTTTCCTTGTGTTTTTTTTCAATGGAAATTTTTTAATGAGACTTTAGATACTAAATTTCATTTACAATTCCGAAAAGTGCAGAGTATTCCAGAGAGGGAATCGATACAAACACATGGAACATTAAGAGCAGAATTATTTCACATTCTTCGAATGAACTAAATTGAAGCAAAATTGTTTCTGCAATCACCTAAGGAGCAAGAATTGTACTTAAGTTTGTAGGACTTAAGTGATAAAACTGCCTTGTATTTTTTTATACATTATCTGAAATTAATATTTGAGTCTGGAGGTGTGTATTCCCAAAATCATCAGCTTGTGGAACTCATCTTTCAAGTCCGATTTTTCTACCAAAAATGTTGTAACTAGAGCAAGTGAACAGACGAGGATGGAAATATACTAACCTGCTTACCTGGCAATATTTCCTTTTTTTATATTAGCCTATTGCCAGAAGTAGTAATATTTTACTGTAATATATCAGGACTTCACAGAGCTTCAAAGAGAAAAACATTTGAAAAGATTTTGTCTTTATTGAATCCATCTGTAATGTTTGGCCATTGCTGTAGATACAGAGGTTATTTGTGCATTTGTATTCAGGTCTGAGGCCAAACCACCTCATCCCAGACAGCTGTTTGACTCCCAAGATCATGTCAGTCAATGCCAAACAAAACGAGTATATTAACTCGAGCTCTGATTTTTTTATCGCTAATCGATATCTCTGGAAGAATAACTGATGTCAGAGCTGAGTGCCTGTGGATGACGTGTTGCTGGTTACTGTAATGAATCCTCATCTGCATCTTGGACCTTGTTGAAATATTTTGCTTGCAATCCGATATTTTGGACAGATATTTATATACTGTGCTCTTCCACTGAACAGAAGACCATGTTCCATTCCTATTGAGGTGACACTATCTTCATTGGAAAAAAAAGTGTTTGGTGAATTTGTTTTATTTATTGACATAAATTGTGTCACAAATGCATTATCATGTTACAGTGTCACACAATGAAGAATATTATTGCATTGGAAAGAGTTCAGAAAAGGGCAGGAAATTGGGGCTTGAAATTCTGAAGTGAAATTCAAAGAGCTAATATTTAATCTGGTGGATTGGAAGCTCAAGACAACAGGTGTTGTTTGCTGAAATCCTTTTTAAAACAATCGCAGGAATATTTGCAGTTGTTGATCATCAACAAAAGGTATTTTGGCACTGGGTATGTGTTCCCATTCCTAAATCACTTTGTGTTGGTCCACGTTACTTTCCTACTGCAATCCGTTTGCCTTCTGGGTATGGAATCTAACGTACTTGATATGTCTGCACTCTGGACTCACACTGGGCTCATTTCCATATCCTCAGTTTCTGCTGACGGGTAGAATAATAACAGCAATACCAGCAGGAGCAGACGGGGTATGTAGGAATTGGAGCTGCAGCATTTCATTATACTTGTAAAGGTGCCACAGACTCAAATCAACTTAATGATTCATTTACAGCAAAAGTGGAGAAAATAATAATATAATAATACCACAGTAGCTCAGGTTCATCAGCAATGTATCAGTACATTTTTCTAAGAATGAAATTGCAAAGGCTTATGACAGAGGGGTTCTAGATTTGCTATTCAGTTTTTTAAAAAAAGGAAACCTTTCAAATGAATGAGCAGAACAAGATGAAGCACTTCATTTCTTGTCAGTTTTAATGGGATTAATGTTGATTGCTTTTCTGATCTGCAGATTTGATAGATGAATAATAATAAACCTTGCGTTACATACGACTTATATCAAATCAGAAGGACATCTCAAAGCATTTCACAGGATTTACTGTAAAGTGTAAAGTGAGGTGGTTATGTATTTTTGTTGGTTGTTCATATTCTGTACTTCGAAAGAACAACAATTGGAAAACAAGCACTCGACAATGAGCAGCTATTAACATGTGCTGTGAAATATACAATGAGTTGATTTTTGAAAATGTGATACATTTTAAATATTTTTTTCAATTCTGTGATTTCAATTACAATATTTAAACAGAGTGATTAAGTCGGTCACAGATTAGTGTTCACCACACACACGCACACGCGCGCACACTCACAAACAAAAGGCGCTATACAAATGTAATTTGTTGTTGGTGGTGCAAACAATTTGAGGAGGTAAATTAAGTTTTATCAGGTCAAAATCTAATGACACGCGTGATTTATGTAACTCTCTCCCCTCCCATGGTCTAAGGTCTATACAGGGGGCTGCTGTATACAGGGAATGGTCAACACTCACAAAGTGAAGGATCACTTACAATTGACGTGTGTCTGTGTGCGTGTGTCTGTGTGCGTGTGTCTGTGTGTGTGTTCGTCTGTGTTTGTCTACGTGTGTGTATGTGTGCTGTGAGAATGTAAACATGCAGAATGAACATTCAGATCACTATACTCATTACAGTTACTGTTGTTCCAGCAACAGGAACAAGATCCCACTAACCTGTACATCTCCAACCTGCCCCTTGCCATGGATGAACAAGAACTGGAGAATTTGCTGAAACCTTACGGACAAGTCATCTCGACACGAATACTGCGTGATGCTAATGGCACGAGTCGTGGAGTTGGATTTGCAAGGTATTTCAACTATTTACATTTTAGATGTAGAGTTCAGTATATCTAGCACCACTCCATGCTGAGCACCTAACTGTTTTGTCCCATTCATTCTAAGTAGAGAATCCTTATCCACGACACATTTGAGACCTAAGAAGATCAAAGTCTCCACGGGTACAGAAGAGAACTAAACAGTTTCTCTATTTGTAGGAGAGGATTTCTATGCACATCAGAATAATTCACTATTAGATTGTAGTTTCTATGTGATTTATAGCTGCAGATCACTGATCACTCGAGATCCTTTATAAAGTAGACATTATCTGGACATACAATAGACTATCGGTGAGTGTGATTGCCACCTGACTTGTTTGTTGTGCAGTGTGGGCCTTTTAGGAACTTAGAAACAGGAGGAGGCCATTCTATTAGATCACGGCTGATCTGTACCTCAACTCCAATTACCCGCCTTTGCCCCATATCCCCTGACCCAACAAACATCTATCCACCTCAGTCCTGAAAATGTGAATGGATCCAGCCATAATCTGCAGCCTTTTGGGGGAGAGAGAGAGAGTTCCAGATTCCCACTAACCTTCTCCTGTAGGATCATTGCAGTTCAGACACATTTGGTGCAGAGCATTCCAGTGGTGTAGTGTGTGGTTGTCAGGAACCGAAGCCAGGCCCACAATTGTCTATTAGTAAGGAAGTATGATGATAAGCATTTACTAGTGGTTGACAGATTTAAAAAAATCTGAAAACATTACTCAGAAAAATATGCTTCATTATATATCTTAACAGAAAAAGGTCCAAAAGATTAATAGTTGTAATGTCTTCAGACAACTTTGAGAATCTACCACTGTGTAGTTTAGCGATGGATTAATTTAAATTAATTTAAACTTGTGACATTCAAGAATAATTCTTTCTCATTTGAGTCACGTTTCTTTTTTACAGGATGGAATCCACCGAGAAATGCGAAGCGGTCATAGCGCATTTTAACGGCAAATTTATTAAGACCCTGCCTGGTGTCCCTGGTGAGATCTGTTCAGTTTTTGGTCAAACTGTTTACATGTGGATTGTAGCAACTAATTGTTGATGGTTTAAAAAAAATTGCCTGGAATAATAATAATAATCCTTGCATTTGATATAGCGCCTTATCATGTCTTTCAGACGTCACAAAGCGCTTCACAGAATATACTGTAAAGTAATATTATTATTATTACTGTAAAGTGAAGTGACTGTGTGTGTTTGTGGGTGGAATGTAGTAGCTGCTAGGCAAAGCCAATCACACTGGCTTGCTGGTCACAGTTTCTTAAGGACTGAGTTCAGTTATTGCCCCAGTCTGGTGTTTACTGAACAAGGGGTAATATTTACACTCCTCTAATTACTGTGTGGGTTACAATCCCTCTTTACTTACCCAGCGAATTATTACCTGCACACACAATCAAATTAATTTAAACTTGTGACATTCAAGAATAATTATTTCTCTCCTGTTACTTTGTTAATGAGGAAAAGATTGACTTTTGAGAGATTTAATGGTAATTAATGAACCGCACTAGAAGTATTGTCTTGTTAGCTGTGTGAAACTGTAGCTGGTAGATATTAGCAATTCTGCAGAAAATAGGAGATTCACAATTGGATCCTAGAGTTGGAAGAAGAGAGGATTAAATTAATAGTACCTGTGTAGTAATAGTAATAGTACCCCAAACATCTACTCGTTTTAGCCTGTAAAACCATTTTATCTTAGAATTTAAGATCATGCAAAACTGAGGAGAATTCTTATATTCAGCCTTAATTAAGAAAGTTTTTTTTAAGAACTGCAGGAAACTGGCTTTCAAATTAGGATTAAATTTAAGAATTTCTACAAATCTGTGTGATCTTAAATTTTAGGTTGAATGGTCCTCTGGGCTAAGACTTGGTGGAATTTGGTGCCCTGCAACATGCTTAATGTTCACATATTAGAAGTTAAAAATAAAAATTCAAACAATTTCTGCACAAAGATGGAAGTTATAAAAATAATAAATTATCTTAATTATAATAAATACAGATTATTAAGGATTATTGTATTATAAATTTAATAATATTTTTTGGATTTGATATAGCACCTTATCACATTGCTGAGATGCCTCAAAGCGCTTCACAGGATATACTATAAAGTGTAGTGACTGTGTATTTTGTGGGTGAAACGCAGCAGCCAATTGCGCACAGCAGTGTGTGTGAAAATGCTGAATTGTTGCATGGGAAGTTGAGAGCAATTCTGGTTTGTCGAGTGGTTTCAGATATGTTCTTGATTTGGTATGTCCTCAAGGATTAGAAACCTAGCTGATTACAAAGTGCTAAGGAGGCCCAGAGGCACAGATCTCTATTCTGTTGTCAGTTTTAAATTCAATTTACAGAACTCGGTAATTTTCAAGCACTCCTTTTTTCTTAGAATTCCTACCACAATTATCTCTGGCATCAAAGAGGGCCTAAAATTCATTCCCACAGCCTGTGATTCAAGTCAACCATATGCTTAGCCTGTTACATCAACGTACCTCTTTTAGATCAAATTGGAAACCAACTATGGAGTTTTATTATTATAATGATGTTTATATTCATAAATAAATCCCATGTCATGGCTTCACCCACCCTTCGTGGCACCTGTTCCAGTCATTAATTACTCTCCGAGTACATGGAATCCTGTCTGTAATTGCCCTTCGCAAAGCTTAACCTGAGTCATCTTGTCCTACTGTCTTGGTGCGTCCTAAAGTGTTATTGTGGGTTTATGTTTCCAATCACATCGGACCAATGCAGTGCGTCTGAATTTGAAGTCAGTAACTGTGATCTCTCTGTCCTGCCGTGTCATGCCATCTCACTCCTGAAGGCAGCCAAGGCCAGAGCTTTTGGGGAGAGAATAGCATTATTTTAGAAAAAGGAACAGAACAGCCTTCCTGTTATCAGTTTAATAAGTACAGTCAGCAACCAGACAATTTAGAGAAACATTGGTTTTGCCAATTATAATAATAAATAATAACAATCCTTGCATTTAATACAGCACCTTATCACATCTTCGAGACGTCTCAAAGCTCTTCACAGGATACACTGTAAAGTGTAGTGACTGTGTGTTTTGTGGGTGAAACGAGGCAGCCAATTGGGTACAACAGCGTCCCACACAGCGTGGAGGTGGGGAGGAGTCAACATAATACATTTTAAAACCGGTGGAAGTGGCGGTTTTGATACAGATCTCAAACATACTTGGTAGTTGCTTATTTTAAAGTGTCTTTTTCAAGACATTTATTGAGATTGGGGGAAAAAAACTTTTCAAATCAAATAGCATTTAGATTGTTCCACAATATTCTGTGTGTGCACGTAGGGTGAGGTAGGGTAAGCTAATGTAGCAGAGTGCTGGCAATTGGTTGCTACACAGCCCAGACAGACGACAAGAATTTTAGCATGTTTGGCAGTTTTCCTCCCTCCACCCCGAATGCTTTGAACAGCACAACTTTGTCCACTGATTGCGTGGAATTTGGCATGGAAGTTGATAGACTTCCTTGGCACTTTCCTGAGGCCACAGAGGGGAATAGTCTGTTCCCTTTAATCTTTTAGCAAAGCATTTGCAGTATGAGTGGCCGGCACTCATGTGTTTCTCATCAGGTGAGCACACGTTCCTGCAGCTTGTGAACCTCCTCCATGGCCCAGTTTCACAAAAGGAAATTGGGTCAAAAGTGAGAGGTCAGAGAGTAGAGGCAGATTCCAGCAATTAGGAGCTGCTTGTAGATTTAAGTTTAAGCATTCACAGTGTTCACACCCGTACACAGCTTACAACTCATTCCAAACAAAACTGTTTGGTTGAATATTGGTACAGGTTTCAACTCAAAGTCCTCTCTTTGCTTCCAACCTGCATAGCGTTTCTTTCGTATAAAATCTGCCGAATAGATCCTAGTGAATTCCTTCCCAATACTGGATATTCTGTTGTGAAATGGGAGTGAGGTGTGGGTGTGTGTGTGGGTGGGTATGTGTGTGTGTGTCTGTGTGTGTGGACTGTTCCTATTTCTACATTCTATACTACAAGTTTGGTGAAAAATTGCCAATATTTGGATAGTGATTTTGCCGCCACGTGTTATAAAAGGAGACAGTGTCAGTACGATTGTACTTTAGGCTACTCTTGACACAAGATGGGAAGCTGGTGGATTTGAGTGGTTAAGTGATTTACCCAAAGGGTCAATTTATGCGATTGGCTTTTCAATAATATTAACACCCGATTCTGGTGTGAGATGCACAGGACACTGAGGGCAAATGTTTGAGGTGGGGGGTGCCAACAAGAGACTTTCTCTGTAGTTGAGAACTTTGAGTTGTTTAGAAACCTGTACCAATATTCAACCAACCAGTGTTTGTTTGGAATGAGTTGTAAGCTGTGTACGGGTGCGAACACTGTGAATGCTTAAACTTAAACAGTTGAATCTACAAGCTTATATATCAATGAGTCTTTCTCGGTAGTTGAGAAGGAATTTGGACTCCTTCTAATGTTCGGTGACCTGGGAGCAAAACAAAAAGACAAATCACGTGACAAGACTAACATATAAAAGGGATTCTGACTTCAGCAAGAGTGAAGTTCAAGTGATTAACGTGATCCCATGATCGTGTTTCAACATGAGCCTGGAGGGAGCTTTCTGTTCAAGAATAGATTTGAGACCATCACAAATGGGAAATACTTAGCTGTAGAGACAAAAAAAATGGATATTTCAGAAAATCCCCAAATACTAAACAACAGCCCCATCATTCTGCCTGTGCATCTGTGAGTACTTTACTCTCCTGGCATTTTGACTGTTTTTTAAATGATTTCACAACATTCTCTGTGAATATCTTTCACACAGGGTATTTATGAGCACTGCTTTCATGACTGGCATTCCAGAGGTCACTGCAGCTGACGTATTTGTTTCCTGTATTCTGCCTGAAGCCTGATTTACTATAGGAATTGGCTGCTCAACCACCAGGAGACAAATGAAGACTGTTTACTCAGAGTAACAGTGAGCTGATGGGATTCTAGTTTACAAGCTTGTAACACAGCCCGGCTTCTAATGCCATTATAAACCGAGAAGCAAAACTCCAATGGTTTGTAAATTGTCTTAGTTCCCCGAAATGTTGTCAAAATCTGGATTATGATTTAGGAAACATAGCTGTGATACGTTAGGGTATGGGAGAACATTTTTTTGCAGTCCTACTTTATATTATTACACTGTAACTTACTTTAATCGGTTTCCCTTTTCTCCCCAGCTCCCATAGAACCTTTGCTCTGCAAATTTGCAGATGGCGGTCAGAAGAAACGACAAAACCAAAACAAATATGTGCAGAATGGTCGACCGTGGCACAGAGACGGAGAGGTGAGACTTGTAAGTCTCCTCGTGTAGTTTCACTATTTGTGTGGAAGTTAATACTGAATGGAGAATCCATGGTAAAAGCTGAAACCTTTGCACTTGCTGTATGGCTTTTGTTGAGAGATCACATTGCAATGTTTTAGCGGCTTCCTCAATACACCTGGGTATCTCACTTCCTTTGGCAAACGCTGAACTTAATCGAACAAAGAAGACCTGGAAGTAATGATGAAGTGTAACTGAAATAAATCGAAGGACCTCTCTTTATATAACTAGATGTATTTTAATAACGAGACTTGGTGAGGTGGAGTTTTGAGGTACTTTAATCTCTGGGATTTGGGTTTCAATCCAGCCCAGATTGATGGAACAAAAGTCTTCTATATTAAATATCACATCCAAATCTTGTTCCATTCACCTCTTTCCTACTTAAAAGATGCCTGGCTCTGACCCTCTAACCTTCGATCATTGCAAACTTCCTTGTAGCATTTTTCAAAAAAAAAATATTTTTTAGAAATATCACTGAACTGTTTTTGCATCAGTGAACATTTTGTAGGAACACATTTGGTCTGCCAAGATAAGTGTAAATACAACAATTATTCTGAATGTAAACATATCTCTAGTTTTCCTGCTGGTTCCCCACAGTATTCAGGATAATAATGTATTCTTAGAATGCTTCACTGTCCACACAAGAAGTCAACAAACATTGGAAAGTAATGTGGAGTAACTGTTGGGAATATGCCAGGCCTGATAAACTCTGCACTATGTTCTAAAGACGCTAATTGAATGAAAATCTAACGCCACATATGGTTATTGTAAATTCAGCCAAGGACAAATAAGATACGTCAAAGTGGCAGTCATCTGTTTTCTGGCTTAAGACAATCTTTCTCTTTAAGTGGGAGCTTTCTAAATCTGACGTATTGTGCAATTGTAAAGGTTTTGATGTATGAATCGACTCCAGGATCCTCACCCTTGCATATAAATCCCTTCAAGCTCCTTCAAGTACCTCTCTTACCTGCTCGTATCTCACTCCTTTCCCCCCCCAATATCTCCAGCCTCAATCCATGCCCCTCGCCCCCTTATTACCTATGTTTAAATACCATTTATGTCACCTCCCCCTCTTACTTGCTGGACAATCAATCCCCCCCCCCCCACTGCAGCTCTATGTGAAGGGTGCTCTATAAGTGAAGTTGTTGTATATAATAGAATCCATGATGAATGTACTTCACATGTAATATCTGCTGAAATTGGTCAAATATGACACGAGTAGAAATTGCAGTAGGTCTTGTTACGTTCTCGTGGTTCTGTTCTCTCTGGTTTTTTGTGAACCATAGAGAGTTGGGAGCCTATTAATGTACAGTTTCGCCCATAAACTATACAGTCAATTCACTTTACAATGTATCGTGTGAAGACTTGATAAGGCGCTGTATCAAATGCAAGAATTATTATTATTTATTATTAATACTGTAGCTGAAAGCCACTGTGAAGAACTGTAGTTTAACACATTTTAAAAGCAGTTGAATATTGTCACACAAGACCCATGGGTATATTTTCAAAATCTAATATAATACAATGTGATACTGACTCTTTCAGACGGGAATGACCCTCACATATGATCCTACTGCTATGCAAAATGGGTAAGTAACAAAAGTACACAGTTAATGTTCACATAGTATACAGTTAATGATCACACAGCAGTGTCCCACAAACAGTCAATGCACCACACGACTGTTTGTGGGCACTGCTGTGCGCAATTGGCTACCACATTTCGCCTACAACATATACAGTCAATACATTTTACATAATATCCTGTGAAGTGCTTTGAGACGTCTCAATGACGTGATAATGCGCTATATCAAATGCAAGGATTATTATTATTTGAAACACTGTACTGAAACTACAATACCATTCCTCACATGGCTATTTTCCTGTTCAGTCTTGTGTGTTATTATTATGCTGTAGCATTTATGCTTCAAGGTGAAATGTGGATAGTGCTGATCACTGCAGTTTCCTGTCTTCTATTTAGATTCTATTCAACACCGTACAGTATTGCAACAAATAGAATGATTGCTCAGACATCTCTTACGCCCTACATCGCGTCTCCTGTTTCAACATATCAGGTTTGTATTAAAACTCTGTACTAATGTACTTATTAAGGTACAAGTATTTGCATTAACAATAAATGTATAAGAAAGTAGCCGAGGGCCTGACATTCCTTTGTTCCCAATAGCTAGATACGAGATGTGTGACGCATTGTTCCTGAATAAAGGGGACTATTGAGATGGTTATGGCTCATTGTTGTAAAACGAGAGGAGCTGTTTACTGACATTACTATTGTGTACTGTTTCACATTACTGTATGTGCAGAACATGTTCTTGTCTGGAATAGAATCTCAGTACTTGTAGCCAGCCGTATGTTCTCAATCGTGGCAATCCAAGGGTAAGAGCTTTCAGTACCAGATGAAGATTGATCACATCTGATTTCATGGTGGGGTGGGTGGGTGGAGGCCCATTGTACTTTCAGCACTTTGGTTTTATTCACTACAGATTTATCATCCATCAATAAGTAATTCCAGAATATCTTTGATTTACGTGGATTACTGAAAATGTGCCATTCCACTTTGGCTTCATCTTCTCTGCACACTCTATTCGTGACAAGTGTTGGCATCAATCTGACGTAGTAAACTACTGGAAAAGTGCCGAACTCCTTGGAACGCCATCCCACGATCCCTTCCCCTCGCTCTCCCTCCCTCACCTCCTTCAAGGCACATTCCAAAACCTCTTCGACCGCGCCTTCAGCCAACCTCCTACCCCCACTCTCCCTGCCCTCCACCCCTCCTGATCCCAAACCTAGCTCGGGTCCAAATCCTTGGGATGTGCTCCCGACGTGAAAGGCAGGCTCCGTGTAAATGCTATTTGTTGTTGCTGTTGACCACTATTTGCCTTTTTATGAGGATGAACGATCTCTCAATGTTACATTGCAGGTGCAGAGTACCTCCTGGATGCCACATCAACCTTACCTTATGCAACATGCTGTAAGTCCACTTTTGGCACAAGAATTGTTTGTCTGGATTGGCAGGGAATGAAGTTCAAAGCAAAACGATTTACTGACTGTTTTAGGAGAGCTGTTTTCATGAAGCAGTATTTGGCAAACATTTCCCATCAGTTTACAAACACACGACCCATAAAAAGTAGGAATGACATCAAAGCAAATTATATTACTTGTAAGTACTGTTAGATCTTCTCACTGGTTTTGTTCAGGAAATTTGTGTCAATTACCTTTACTTGATAGATGGTCTGATTAAAAAATTAATGCTATCGCTTTAATATCCATTCAAATTGCTAGTCTTGGGGAAAATTGAAAAAAATACCAGTGATTGTTAGCTGAGAACAATAAGCCAAACATCTCCTGAGTTGACTCATTCACTCGCTCACCACAGATACTGTGGAATGGAGAGTAGGAAATGCTTGTGTACGTGGGGAGGCAGTGATTCAGACCATCTGCATCTCTCACAGATGTTTTGGTTAAGTGTAATTTTATTGTAAAATGTCTGTGATGCTAAACGTTTCCCAAAAACAGAACAGGGCGCATGCAGGTTTTAGATGTTATAGCCATTATTTTTCCTATTTTATCTGATTTACAATGAACTGAAATTTCACTGAAAGATGTTTCAAAAGATAGCGATCAGACTGAAAAGGGCCTTTTCTGATAACGTGAATTAGATCATTTTATTCAAGAAATTGAGGGAATGATTTCTAACTAATATAAGCAGGGCAGTGTTCGATCAGCAACACAAGCAGTATGTTTACTTTGGTCTCGTAAAGACATAAATGCTTTGTTGCCAGAGTTTCAGACTATACAGTCAGCTCATCGCATCCCATAATAATAATAATAATGATAATAATCTGAGGGTTGAGTATTACATTTATTAAAGATCATGAGGGTGAATTTTCAATATCTCATAAAAGGTGTATTCTAGGCTAGTAAAGATTATGCTATTCTTTATTGCTTGGAAGGTAATGTCTACCGTTCACAATCTGTTCCCATGCGTGGGCTGAGGTAGAATGAGACTAATGTAAATGCCCGGACAGATGTCTTAATGGTCCCAGGAGCCTTTCTGGGCCAAAGCTTTACGTGAAGCACTTCCTCCCTGTACTGCTATGATAACAGTCTCTCTCCGTGTACAGAACAATGGGCCTGTCACCGGGACATTGTACAAATTCCTCTGCCTTCATGTTGTCCCTGAAACACAAACGTCATCACCCAATTTAAAAAATAATGCAAAACAATTGATTTAAAAATACATGAACACTTGGGTAAAATGCGTGAGGAGATATAACACAATGACGGGAACATTAGATTGTGTCATTTGGTCGTATCTATTCAGTGTCTACTCATTGTATCTGATGAAACCTCACATACAAACCTGTATAACAGTCCATTCAAAACATTTGATGTAAAAATATATTTCAGCTTCTTTGTGGTGAAGCTGAATAAGCTCAGAGCATTATATTTGTGCCTGGAATTGTCCTCATGTCCCAGCACGTGATCAGACTAGATTATTATTTTCCTTTCTGTGAATGGGCGACTGGTGAAGATATTGGTGATAAACTATGTTAATGTTCTTGTATTTCACTATCAGAACATTTATAGGAGAATGTTGAGGTTGGGGGTTTGCAGGAGTGCTAATGCTGTTTTGCGGTTTATTGTGTTAGATTCCTGCTGGCTCTCGTAGTAAAGTTGTCTTCTGTTTGTGTATCTCAAACCTAGTCATTAATGTGACGTGTTCTGTGTATCAAACAGAATACGCACCCAGTCATTTTCCATTTTCTTCCAGCAGTAAAATAACTCCATTCAAGTCATGTCTTCCACAGCCTTGCAATTAGAGTTCTGAAATTTCTGCCAAGTGTGTATTTGCCGTGCCTGGTATATAGTGTATACTAATTAACAGGTTATAGCACTGCCCTGCTCTGGGACTGCAAAACAAGCACAACAAACAATGGGAAATGCTTTATCTAACAGTCATTTAATTAAAAGCACAACTTATAAAAATGGTAAAATGTTTGCCAATCTACACCTGAGCAAATATGCCAATGAAACTAAACCACTTTGTGCTATAATAGGAAATGGTTCTTTTCTATGTCACATTTTCTTTTTTTTCCACGTGAAATTAGCAAACTACTTCCTTGTGTGTATGTGTGTGTTTTTGTGTGTATGTGTATTTGTATATATAATCCAGCTTTCGCTCACCATTAAAACCTGCTAACTCACAACTACATTTGCTCTTTATGATGAATGACCAAAAATATTCAGCTGAAGCAGTGAAATGAGTTTGTTCTGTTGGGAGAGTTTTATAATCAGGATGTCAGAGACACGTGAATTAGTGTTCTGGAGAGTCAGCGTTTTTCAGCAGCTGTGGTGTGTAAAGTGTTTAATATTAGCTCATGAGCGTACAGCACGATCCATTTAACTTTCTGTTTCAATAGCTTTAGACAATGGCGATGTTTTTTCAATTCAGTTGAGGGACTGTAACGTTTATGTGTCAACATTTTTTAAAAAATCTACCCTTTGGACCAAATGTCTCCGGCTTTGAACCTTTTTATATAAACTCTTAAATAGAACTCGAACAAGATACAACACAATTAACTAATCCTGGCGGCTGGTCTCTGTGAACTGGAGCCATTTCAGCAGAAAGTGTGTGCGCGTCACAGAAACACGTGTGTTTGTGAAACAATTGGTACATTTAAAACAACGGCTGCAGAGACTCTTAACTTTAACTGCTCAAAATGGCACAAAAGTTAGAGTTTACGTCAACTAAATCCAGATCACATCTTATCCCTTTGTGTTCAATAATTCTAAATACTGTGTATCCCCTTTGCTACAAGTACGATAGGCAATCAACGCTACCTGTGTGTGGCCTCTTGTTTCATTTGAAAATCCCTGTTTTCTCACAATTATAATATGTTTTGGTCTAGGTCTCAATTTCACACGTTACCTTGAAACTAGCCAACCCTCCCCCAACACCCTTGTTACGACAGTTACTGCAGGAGGAACTTCAGTCTGAAATGGAGCAATGTCCCAATGAGTGCCCGACCGAACCCTTACAGTGTGGACTGTGGGCGTCCTAACCCTTGACTCCTAAACCAATTCAAGACGAGTTTACCTCCAGCGCAATAGATGCCAGTCCAGAGCAGTGCTATTAGCTCACTTTCCCGGGACACCTGTCATACACTCTTTGTCACTTATGTCGTATTTCTTACTGTCCGTCAACGATGACAATAAAAAGTTTCCTCAGCACATTTTTCTCTTTGATTCAGGGAGCAGTAATGCCGCCATCTATGGAGCATCAGATGCCAATGCAGCCAACGTCAATGCTCAGTCCGCTGACACAGCAGATGAGTCACCTCTCATTAGGCAACACAGGAACAGTAAGTGGGGATTCACACCACAGTCATTGACAGTCATTAACCTCCAAATGCTCCGAGGGAGAATTAATTTAGAATTAAGTTTCATTTAAAATCCCTTCAAAATAATAGTAATTTGGTCACTCAATCCCCAGTGACCCCTGTTTGTGGGGACGCTGCTGTGCGCAATTGGCTGCCGCGTTTTGCCAATGAAATATAGTCGCTACACTTTACAGTGTGTTCTGTGAAGCGCTTTGAGACGTCTCGACGACCTGATAAGGCACTGTATCAAATGCAAGGATTATTATTATATTAAAAGTATCATTAAAATGCTTCCCATTATACATAGGTTATAATTCTGTGCTATGTTAACTGTCTAGGGTGGATTTGTGTGCACACCATTGTGTTTTTTTTATTATAATTTGATTTTTTTGTGTTTTTAAGTACATGCCAGCAACATCGGCTATGCAGGGAACATACATCCCCCAGTACACACACGTGCCAACAGCTGGTGTGCCAGTCGAGGTGAGTCATGTTATAGGCAGCACAATGTCAAACATGCCATGTTCAGTGTCTTTGTTTCCTTTCTAAATGTAATACAACTTGGAGCTTTTAAATGTTAAAAAAAGGTTTTTCACAAATAATTTTTGATAAGGATACAGATCCTATCCAGGAAGATCAAATGATGGACATCACATAAGGTGGGGCAGAATTTGTCCAAGTTGATAAAGACCTAGGCCTGTTATTGCTCATCATGTCAAAACAGCTTGAGCAGCAACAAATGAGGATGTAAAAGTAAAAAGGATGCTCGATTGCCAAATCAGTTGAGTTGAGAAATCATGTTTGAGCTGTACAGTATTGGATCACAGTTCTGGTTGGCACAATATAAAAGACCCACCTTACCATCGTCCCATAGCGATCAGGCCAATCTGCAGTGTTACAGGGATGAGCTGCAAGGAATAATTAAATACATTGGGGGTTCCTGCTTCAAACGAGACATCTCAGAGGGATTCTGTGATGAGATTCACTGAGACAGCAGGACAGGAGGTCACCAGGTCAGCATTATGCAGGGCAAGACCAGATTAGACACTGGGAAGCATTTCTTTACATAGAGAGTAATCAACAGCTGGAAAGGGTTAGCAGGAAGGGCGACTGGGACCAGGAGACTGAGCCCTCTTAGGAAACGGCTTGATGCTGTAATAAAGATGAGATCATATGGGTTGAAGAGGGACCTTCTTTCCTGAGCCGTCCTTATAAGTCCTGAAGGTTTTCTGTGAAGCTTTCACTCTAACCTTCAAATGTCCTTGTTTTGCTTTCATTCCGTTATGTTATTCTAATCATTCACTGATCTCTGTAACAAAAATTCGGGAGGTAATTTGTATAATTTATGTGCAATTAATTCACATCAGAACACTTTTAATTGATGAATGTAACTTTACTAGGTCAATTCCCATGATTATAAATTCAACCAGACTGCACGCAGCAATCCTAGTTTCTTGAACCTTAAATGTGATTTTAATTATTACTACAATGGATATCTATGAGGCACATATTAAATTATATTACACAGCTTATATTTTACCAAAGAATGTTTGTTGTGCTGCCTAATACTTAGCAATCAATGTGTTAGCTATATTAATGTATCAATTTTAATATTATCTGAATTTGTGTTTTATTTATTTGTCACCAGTTTATATAAGAAGCAGAGACAGGATATTGGGTTCCCTTAGTTCAAGAGATTCATTGTTCAGGGATTTTGTATATTAGTGCCATCTGTAGCAAACTGATCATGTGTTTGTATCAGTATTTAGAGATACTGATTAATTTTGCCTCCTCACCCACGTGAGCACATGGGATGGTTCATTGTGAGATGCTGAAAATGATTTAATTGCAGAACAGTTCACTCCCCTTTCCCCATACATGTGGAGTTCTGTAGCTCAGTGGTTAGAGCACTTGCCTCGCAAGCGAGAGGTCCCAGGTTCGATTCCCGGGCAGGATGAAACGTTACGCAAGTTTCCTTGTTCCAAACGCCTCTGTTTACACTCTCCCCATGTACTGACTGTAATACACTCTCCCCATGTACTGACTGTAATACACTCTCCCCATGTACTGACTGTGTAATACACTCTCCCCATGTACTGATGTTCTAATGGTATATTATCACCACAGGAGCCGAGTGGCCAACAGCAGCAGGTTACTGTGGACACCTCATCTGAACATTCTCCGTACTCCTATCAGCAAAGCAAGTAATCCCCAGGTAGTGCTTTACGTTTGACATGTGGTACTGTATTTATAGCAACATAATCTCCCTTTGAGGTGATTGATGTTCTTTTCAAGTCAAATGCAACAAAAAAAATTATTTCATCCAAGATCGACGTGTCTTAAAGCTCATTTCGAAGCAAGATCAATGACGTATTGAGTACTTTAGTGGCAATTAAATAAGTGATCAGAGGGATGAAATGGAAGTCATTGAAGCAAAATGAATAATAGTACTGGAGGAGCGAGCGAGAGGACCCGGGTTCGAATCCCGGGCAGGGCGAAACGTTGGGCAAGTTTCCTTATTCCACACGCCTCTGTTTTCCCGGTTGTTAGTCAATTGGCGGATCACTTTACGGGGGTTATAATTGCTCCTATAAATGTTGATTTTGGATCTGTGATAACTGATGTTCAGACCGGACACCATTGACCAATGACCACTAGATGGAGCGCTTTATAGCAACAAAGTGGTGGACGTCAAAACAAAGGAAGCTTCGCTGAGACGAGTCCCACTGATTAAACAGCATTTCCTATTGTTTCTCACGGGAAAGCATTGATGTGCAGCAGTAAGGGAGGGGGGAGATTCCCGTGTTGGTGATTGGGGCCTTGATGTAAGAAATCAGGTGAAAAATCAGTATCTAATCAGGAAACTCATTAAATGGTAAGGCGCTATATTAAGGCAAGAATTATTATTATTATTGTTTCTGGACAATGAGCATGCCAGAGGACTGTGATAGATGAGCACCACAAATGAAAATGTTCCTTGACTCATTAAATGTGTAAGAGTCTTTATAATATTTTTCTGTTTCAGTTGTGCAATGATGGTCCCCGGTCCCTTTCCCTTTGGCGAAGAAAGTTCAAAGACTGAAACAATCACGGCTTCTTCTGATCTCTTGTGCTTTAAGAATTTGTCAACGTTTTGCACAGATTCTGAAAAATATTTTTTTTGTAATAAAATCAACTGAAACAAACTATTTTGGTATAAGTTCTGTGAAGTACATATAAATGCTTACATTCATTGAAGGGGGTGAATAAACCTCTGGAAAATAAGTTTATTTTAGTAAGGAAAGAAAGCTTATTTTTAAGAATTTGTCTGAAATAGTGACATAAATGTTCTGTTTGCACAGATTGACAGAGTGAAATTTATTATTCAAGGTGCATTAACAGATTGCTCAACGCAGACTGAGAACTTGTTATGATTTTAATTATTAATTAATTCCTTTTTTTTTCTTCTGTATTATATGCTAAGATTTTTTTCTGGAATTTGGAAACTTAGGCCAGACATCAGCCACCGATGTCCTCGCTTGCTGTGTGAGTGATATTGCTGTGAAATGCTACATTCTTATAGTGTCTTTTTTGTTAGATTCTGACTTTATTAGATATAGAGTGATGCGATTAGTTTTTTTTCTTTTTTGCTGGAACTACAATTTGCCTTAAACTTCTTGTTTAATTAGCTGTTTATGCAGGCATTTTAAAGTTCTATATAAGATATAGTGCTTTGACCACATGAGGTGGATCATAATAAATGCCTTGTTAAGCAGCAATAATAGACCTTTTGTAGAGTTGATATTAGTTGTTGATCATGATTTTTAAAAGAAAATTGTAGATGTTTTTAATAATTTTCACTGTTCTTAGCTAAATACTAATTAAGATAGAAATTTTAGGCAGAGGAGATTTGCATGTGGAATGTAAAAACATTTTCTGACTTTGATGAACTTTTAACAGAAGGAAGTGTTTTTAAGTTTGTGGGGTTGAATTTCTGGTAATAGAAAGGAATTAGAAACACTGCTAAATGGTGAAAATGAAAAAAAACTTTGCGCCTTTTTAAAAAAATAACTTGATGTCGTAGTTTTAGATTTAGATAGAGGGGGTTGGGGGGGGGGGAGGTGGGGCTGTCAGAATGACAGAATATGTTTTTTTCTCTGCTTTAGTGAGTTTGAAAATAATTGCTAAAGCTTTGATTTCCGATTGCTCAGAAGATAGGAAGCAGATGAATTGCTGTTACAGCAAAAGAAAAGAGAAAAACAGAAGCTAAACCAGTTTTATTCATTGAAAATAAGCTGAGAGATTTGGCAGAACTAGAATGGGTACTAGCTCTCTATTAGGTATATAAAAAAAGACTTGGCACTTTTAAAAGTTAATATTACCAAAGAACTATGAGCTAGCAACCAGTCATATATAAAAAAAAAGTTTTCTCTCAGCCTTGAATTTCTTCTGTACTCTTTGATGTTTTTATGCCGGACCTGTTTGTGATTAGATGTGCCTTTTTATGTACATTTGCATTTGTTTTTAATGTACGGACACAAAGAAGCATAAAGGAAGGTTTGGATCCAAGCAGTGCCACACTTTATATCATTTTATTTTTCCCCACTGTCATCACTACAAAGACTTAGGGTAATAATGAGAGAGAAAACATTTTGAAGCTATGAAATAACTGATCGCAGTTTATAATGGAGCTTCACCTGATTGCATCATTTATTTTAATTTCACATCGAGTCGGTGAAGCTCACTTGTTTATTCATGATTTTTTTGTATTTTTTAAAAAAAATATTATAAAATAAGTTGTCTTCCAAGAGACTGTGCATTTGTCTGATCAGCTGTTTGGTCAGTTATCTACCTCAAGGTTGTGTTTGCTATTGTCATGGGTCAGGTTGCTGGGCCCGCCTGCCTCAACAGACCAAATCACTCTAGCTCGGGAGCTAGGGCTAATTAAACAAGTTGTTTTTTCATGTGTTTAGTTATTTTTCAGAATTATTGTAATACTACGTCAGTGTGTGAAGTTCTTGTCATCAGTCTATTTCATAGTTTCAAAATATTTGCTGCTTAGAAGATGGATTTTTTTTTTGAAAATAACATTTCGTTGGATTCTCAACACTTTTTTTAAAAAATAAGAATAGTTGTGGTATTACTTGGTCATTTACTCCCTAGAATATTTCTGCTGTGTCAAAGTCCAGGCAAATTGCAGCACTTCCATGTACTTGGGTGATTGCCAGAATTCGAGCTACAGACACATATTGGGTGGTTGTGGATTGTTCAAGACTGAAATATGAGAGGTCTCTCTAACTGTGTGGGATTGGCTACTCAGTGCCATACTCTTATCTGGATAAGATTTGCAAACCGTATCCTCTGTACATAAAGAATAATCAATTACCTAAAACATCACATACTAGACAGCCATTAAATTATAAAGAAGCTTAATTTATGAAGAAAGACCTTTTGTACAGATTGTTTGAAAAAGATTTTCATAGAGATGTCTATATGATCAAGAGAGTTAATTTTTTATTTTTGTTTTACTAGTGCCACAAACATGGCAGTGGTAACTTATTTGTCCGGTTCCAAATGACTCATTCTGTAGTTTTGTTTCCTGAGATGTGTTGTTTAAGCCAAAAAAAAAAATTTTGAACTGTAAATTAATTTAGATTGTTACTCTTAGTATTTCTGTTCATTTTTCTTTTGGAAAACTTTTGAATAAAAAAAAAGACCAAGTGAAAATACTTTATCTTACAGTTGTATTCATCTCATTTCTCGTTCTGCTATTCACGAGCTAAGAATCCAATTAATGTTTCTGTGGGAATTGTTACCATTTTGTTATATCTCAAATAATAATCCTTGCATTTGATATAGCGCCTTCTCACGTTGTTGAGGCGTCTCAAAGCGCTTCAGTATCTGCCTGCATTTCTTCCCAGTTCTCCTGACGTTCTGCATGCGAAAGTTTTGTTTAGTAAATTTTCTGATGAAGTAATCTGGAAATTCCTGTCATTATTTACAGGATAAAACATTGGGAAAAAAATAGGTTCTGAGGTTTGTTTTTGCAAAATTATGATAAATATTGTACACTATCCTTATCACTGGCGCACTATGTTATAAAGAAAATATATATCCCTGGTAAGCTCTAACTATTTGACAGTTTTTTTATTTTTAAAATGTTTATCAGGAAATGTGACGTACTTTCTGATAGTCTCTGTTCAGGTTCCAAATGGGGGAAGAGCACATGCCAGATCAGGCTAACTTTCTAACGTAGTTTTTGCTTTGAAGTGACTTAAATGGCCAACATCTGATGAATGTTAAATATAGTAATTCTGAAACCTATAATATTGTACTTCCATAAATGGAAGCAATAAGAAGTTAGCTTGGCCTTGGGTTTATCATTCCTGGATATTGGCCACACACCCAGCAAGTGCTCTCATTACGGCATAATACCCTAAACTAGACCCATCTATAGTATCTCAGATCAGACTAACAATATGCCTCCATAATTCCTTACGCTACATTGTAAATTGTTTCTAGATTTTATCAGTGATTCTAACTTGCCGGAGACTGGTATAGGTAAGACCTAATCTTTATCCACGTTAGCAAGAATTATTAAAACCCTACACCATTCATTTTACCCTGATGAAATGTCTTCTCTTTGTAAACATTGTACAACAGATGAGGTTCAGCCCAACAGTGTTTTTCCAGCCTCTGCTGGAGATAGTCTGAACAGTTTGGTAAAACTGACAGCAATCACCATCATAACCTGTAAAGCCTGCAATTGATGGTAATTAACATGTATAATTGATGGCTGATCCAACCCAACTCTGGATACTCACTATTTCCAAACTGTTACTTACTGCAAGCGTGACAAGACCAAGGTAAAGATTGGGATGAAGGAAAGGTACAATATTTAGGAGCAGAAAGCTGTAAATGGGAGCTTTCGAGCCCCAGGAATTTGATTCTGATACAATTATCTTCTCACCCAGTTGCTTCTTCAGAGATGGGTTTGAAGCCAGTATCACTTCTGAAGATATGGTTTCTGGGTGAGAGGTCATTAACTCCGCCCTATTGACCAATCCCGCCGCAGAAAGGAACATAAATAGCCAGTGTTTCCAGCCTCCTGACTTCATTGCGTTGCTGACTGAAGTCTGTGTAAATGCACAGCTACTGTTTTTATAAACTGCATTCATCAATTAATTTAAATGTTGCTAAAAAGCTATTTTATTCACACAGAATCTTAATAACCCGAGTGCTGAAGCTTATTTCTGCTACAGTAAGATAAGTGAATGTTTTCAGTGGTAACTCACGGGTTCTCCCATCACCATAACACTTTTCACTGCTCCTTACGCTAATAAATATTAAACTACACTTCACATTGTATGATTTTATTTTGACAACAGTGAGATGAATGAACAAAATGACTTTCAGTTGGAGCTGAAATATTAATTGTGATTCCCAGTCTCCACTACGTATTGTATGTCTAGTTGTTGAAGTGCAGGTAGCTTGTATTTTATAACATTTAACTACAGGATTGGAGATTGGATATAATTAGTTTTAGCCAAACAGCAATTCCCAAATGTTACTTAGCTAGAATTTTATCATGGACAGGACAATATCGAAGTTAGCTGATCTTCTTGTTCTAGAGCATGATAAAGGTGTTGTTTATTAGTGCAAAGAATTGACAAACATGATTTTGATCATTGCTTTTTGTATTTTTAATTCAAATCAGGAGGTCACATTCCAGTCAAACAGTTATTGAATGGATACATGTGAAACAGTCACAGGGAGGATATAACTACCGTTGTAAACTGGAAGGGCATCCTCCACATACACATTGCAACGTTGTCAGGATTCCTCCCAACGCTCTCCTTCCTTCCAAAGAGAAAAGACTGACACATCAAATGGAGGATTCAAGAGACAATTTACAGTTCCACCCAGGACAATAAGCAGCAACCATGCTGACATATTACTGGGTTTGAAATCTAATAATAATAAACCTTGCATTTGATTCAGCGCCTTATGTTGTTGAGACGTCTCAAAGCTCTTCACAGAATATACTGTAAAGTGGAGTGACTGTGTATTTTGTGGGCAAAATTGTGTGGGTGAAAAACGGGCACAAAGGACAATAAGAGAAGAATACACCTATTTTGTAGCAGCAATCTTAAAACCATTCAGGTAAATATACATGATAATAGATATATATTATCATTCTCTTATAGACGAACCATATCATTCATTAATGACCTACTTCAGCATGAAAGTATCTTGCTCCTCGGCTCTGAGGTGTTGAGGGCAATGTAACAAGGCTGATGTTTGCTGTTTGGTTATGTGATATCTTTGCAGTTGCAGTTCATTTGAGGTTCCTCTTGGAGGATCAGCTCATTGGTCTCCATGCTGCCCTGACACCCTCCCCTCCCTCAATGACTAATCTTCAGGTTCCACGTTGTGGCTGCAGTGACTTTGTCAATGAAGGTTTGGACAATATCACAGCGATTTGCACTCTTATAAAGTTATAATCTTATCGATCAACTTTTCAAAGTACTTAATAACTATGAGATGGAACAATGAGCGGAGAGAAAGGATGGAGCGTTATGTTAACAATGTTGACAAAAAGGGATGTTAGGAGGGTTTTGAAGTGGAGAGAGTGGAAGCGAGACAAGACATTTTGGAAACACAACACAAAAGTAACTGAAGATCTGTCCACGTGTCTATAACTCCTGGGGCCCAGGAGAAAGAAAAGAGAATTTCTTATTTCCAGTTTTGTTTGAGGCTCGGCAACTTTACACTGTTATTGAATCCTTGGTTCTAAAAATAAACTGAGCAGTCCAATCTCCTGATTTCCAGGAACTTGTGGTCTGTCAGGAAGCCAGTCAGTGCATTAGGATGATGATGGTTCAATATTAAACTCTTAGCCAAATACTTTTTTTTTAAAAATACACTGGGAGCTATATTCAAATGGCATTAACTCTAGGGTAAAGTATTCTTAGTTAGAAATCATCACGTTAATTAGTAAAAAATTGCCAAACACAATCTGAATGTCATTCACTGCCTGTAATAAGACCTTCCCTTGGCCTCTCAATGGGAATATCTGGTTGTATTATTGTAATATTTGCAATGTCAATGAAGCACAACTAACAATCCAACTTGACCCAGGACAAATACTTTAGGAGCATTGACAGATAGTTTTGTGGTTAAATAATGTTAAGCTCATTCTGTACCGCTGAATAAATCTGAGATTAAGATACCACTGGAGTTCAAAATATTGTTATGGATTCTGTATCCCACTTATATTAAGAAATGCTGCGTGTAAAGAACAACAACAGCAAAGTACATTTACACAGCGGCTTTCACATCGGGAGGACGTCCCAAGGCGCTGGACAGTCAGGGATTTGGATCCAAGCTGGGGGTTGGTCCATGCCTTTTTCACCTCTTAGCTGGACTACTCTAATGCCCTCCTCGCCGGCCTCCCATCCAATACCATCCATAAAATCCAAATCATTCAAAACTCTGCCGCCCGCATTCTCACCCGCACAAAACTCCGCTCCCCGATCCCCCCAGTTCTGGCCAGACTGCACTGGCTGCCTATCCCAGAGAGGATCGATTTCAAGATCCTCACACTTGTCTTCAAATCCCTCCACTCCTCTACACCCTCCGACCTCTCTGACCTACTCGCTCCTGAAAATAGTACACGTTGCATTCGTTCCTCCGGGTCTGGTCTCCTCCTTGTCCCCTGAGTCCTCCGCTCCACCCTCGGCGGCCGTGCCTTCAGCCACTATGCCCCGAGGCTCTGGAACTCCCTTCCTCACTCCCTTCGCCTCACTCCCTCTCTTCCTATTTTCAGGTCTCTGCTGAAGACCTTTCTTTTTGACCACGCCTTTGGTCACCTTCCCTCCCCTCCCTCTGGCTCGGCCCCGGATCTATTACTGTAAAGTGCTCTGAGACGCTGTCCGGCGTGGAGGGCGCTATATAAATCCAAGTTGTTGTTGTTGGGATCAGGAGGGGTGAAGGGCGGGGAGGGTAGGGGTAGGAGGGTGAAGCCACGGTCAAAGAGGAGGGTTTTGAGATGTGCCTTGAAGGGACTGTGTGATGGAGTTCCAGAGGGTGGGTAACCTCAAGACTTGGCTCATCATCTGAGGCAAAGAGTCTTTTTATTCAACTCAGGCCTAAAATCTGATCTTTTTCCCACTTTCTGCTGTTTTGGTGTCTTATTGATGTTAATATTTATTTGGTTGGAGCTCTAAGTCCGCAAAAACGGCCTCTACCTCCTCAGCAACACGACTTCCAGAACTCTCCACTCAATAATGTGAGAAACACAACAAATTCCTTGTTTGCCTGGAATATACTTTTTATGTCTTGGATAGAAGTGAAGTTTAGTTAATTACCCGCTCTTTACCACACGTGTGAATGATTAAAGGCTGTTTGAAGTGCAACGTTTCAAAATATTATTTCAGAATTTGTTATGATGGAGACAACTGCTATTGTGTTTGATGTGTGTGTATGTGTGGGGGTGGGGTGGGGTGGTGTAGGGGTGTGTGTGTGCGCGTGCGTGTATGGTGTATGTGGGGGTGTATGCATGTGTGAGAGGAAATGAGTGTTTGGTGTGAATGAGTGTTGTCTGTGGGTGTGTGTGTGTGTGGGTATGTGTGGAGTGTGTGTGTGTCTGTGTGGGCATTGTGTGTGGGGGAGCAATGGGTGTGTGTGGGTGGGTGTGTGTGTGTGTGTTACAAC